CCCCCCAGGCTCCCTCTAAGCGGTGGAATCTCGTGAGCAAAAATTCTACTTTGTGAGCTACTGGCATTAAAGTTGTGAGCCATTTGGCTGCTGCATAAATTAGTTTGCTCTGGAGCCACATCCTTCCTGAGCTCAGACAAAAGAGGGTGAGCTGGAGGCTAAAAAACTATGAGCTAGCTCACACTCACTTGCTCAGCTTAGAGGGAACACCAGGCCCCACCCACAGAGGACATTTCTTGACTACTGACAAAGAGGGCCCGGCAATCCGGCCTCTGCTGGTCCGGCCCTCTCCTTGGCCACAGCCACTGCCCCCTGCCACACTCTCCCCACCCTTCCCCCTTAGCCACGCGGCCTGGACCAGACCTGGCCCCATGCTGCCACCCCCCCCCCCTTTGGGTGGGAACTGGGTCCACCCTGCCACCTCCAACCCGAAAACTAAATCTCCAGAAAGGGCCGCCTCGGCACACCAAGCCCCAGGCACCAGCAGGAAGCAGAAACCACGTGGACAGGGCAGCCACAGCGATGGGCCACGGACCAAGGGAGGGCGCCCCCGGTTCTGCGGAGTGGCGGAGGGATCTAGGCAGCACGGAGGGACACGGAGCAAGGGCGGAGGGAGAGGAAGGGGGGGCCAGGCGGGCGGCAGGCAGGTGGGCGGGCAGCCAGCCAGAGAAGGGCACACACGGAGACCCCCCACCACCACCAGATCTTACCAGGCTGCAATGGGGCTGATGGAGAGAACAGAACCCAAAGCGGCAACGGACGGGGAGACAGACAGACAGACAGACAAGGGACAGTTACAAACAGAACCTGCCATGGGGCCCCAAAATCCGCTCCTCCACCCACTGGGCACCGGCTACCCCTCGGCGGGAAGAACCATTTCTCCCACAGCACAGAGGCCATTTCTGACCTCTGGACACAAGCCCCCCCCCCGTTGGCTGGCTGGAGAGAGGGGGGGGGGAGAGAGAGAGAGAGAGAGAGGAGAGTTAAACTGGACACAACCTCATCCTACTGTTTAACTGAAAAGGTCTCCCAACTGCCCAACTGTTGTCGCTGTTATGTATCAGGCTTATATACCGCCCTTCCCGTGAGCTAGTGCACAGCTCGTAGCACACCTTGGGAATTTGGCAACCCACACCAAGCGTTCCAGTTCCACCGGCAGAATCAGGCCCAAAGGACACGGGGGCTTGCAGCAGGAGACCAGCACCGGGACCCACGAAGGAACGCAACGCCAAAGCGCTGCAGGAGCCACGTTTGCATTGAGACTGCGCTGTAGGGGGGAGGGAGCTCCACGCCGCCTCCCCCCCCCCCGTGCACTTCTCCCAACCTCCAACAGCCCCAGGGGGGGGCGTGCTTTGCCCCACACGCGACCCTGATGGGTCAGTGTCCCTGGGTGCCGTAGCAGAGGGAGAAAAGGGGAAGGGGGATGCTGGAGGCCCTCCCCCCCCCCCCGCACTGCCGTCCCACTCTGAATTGGGCTTCTGCGGCACTTGAGACTTGAGCTCCCGCGGGGGTCTCCGTGGCCATCAGGTGCCGTCTGGGCCTCAGCTCCTTTTCAAGAGCAGCCAGAAGACCCAGGGTGCTAGCAAAGGCTCAAAAAGCGCACCTTGCTGAGCCCGGGTCACCAGCAAGAGCCCCCCTCCCCTCCCCCCCCAGCCATCGAGGCGCAGGCACCGAGCACCCTCCCCGTTCAAAAGGGGCAGGCAGGTGACACTGCCAAGACCCCTCACCAACCGCTCCAGAGCAGAGAGGCTCAGACGCCCTACGGGCACAGAGGCCCCGTCACTAGGAAAGAGGCCACCACCTGAGTGGGGGAACTTGGAAGAAGTCTTGATAAAGGGCCAATATTAAAAACCTAGTTCAAGCTTACCATATACAACAATGCATGCATTTATTAGAAAGAGAGTTGAAAACAGGGAAGGGCCCAACGGAAGCCTCGTTAAAAAGTTCTAGTGGCCTGAACCCAAGGGGCCAAGACACCCGTGACCTGACGCGTTTCCGCCCTATTGGGGGCCTTCTTCTTCAGAGGTCAAAGAACATTGAGGTACACGTAACAATAAGACAACCAATAAGTGAACACTGGGCCAAGAAAAGGAAGGTTAAACAGCAAGAGATCTATAGACAGAAGACAAAAAGATGTTCGTGAGGCCTCTGAAGATGAAAGTCATGTGCGTCTGGTGCCAAATGCACAGTTGCTGAATTAGAACATCTTCCAATTTAGGTCCAAAAAGCACCTGTGTGGCTAAGTCAGAGCTAGAGGAGGAGGAGATTGGACTTATACATCATGGCCCTTCACTACCCAAGGGAGTCTCAGAGCTGCTTACAAACTCCTTTCCCTTCCCCTCCCCACAACAGACACCCTGTGAGGCGGGTGGTGTTGAGAGAGCTCTTGAGACAAAAGGCTCTTTTTCAAGGACAGCTCTTGTGAGAACTACGGCTTGCCCAAGGTCATCCAGCCAGGTGCAAGTGGAGGAGGAGTGGAGGAATCAAACCCGGTTCTCCCAGATTAGAGTCTGCGCAATTAACCACCACACCAAACAGTCAAGGCTATTTGGCTTTCATTGGGCCCTTATATGTTTTTAAACTGTCTTTCTAATAAATACATGCACTTTTTGTATAGTATAAGTTTTAACGAGGTTTTTAATACTGGCCCTTTAGCAAGACCTTCTTTCTTAGCCTCGTGGTTCTCGATTCCAGTTTTTGGGTCAGGGTTGTCTTCCCCTCCCTGTGTCTCACGGGGAAACGTGGAAGCCTGGAGCGGCAGCCGGCAAAAAGACGAAAGGCACCATGGCTAGGGAGCCACAGCCCTCCGACACCTCCCGTGACTTCTCAGCCACCTCCGGGTCCAGCCCAGACCAAAGGCGCCTGGGAACGGCAAACTGCGGACACAGCGGTGCTGGACTCTGGAGCACAGAATCTGTCCCGGGACCCACGCGTGAGCCAGGGCACCTGGAGACCATCCTACGCAACCAGAATGCACCGCAGTTTGCTTGCTTCCCCTCCCTCCGGCCTACCAGGTGGTCCGCAGGGCTCTTCGCAACACAGAGGAGAAGACGCCGCCCTCAGTGATGCACCCGAGTCCCACGCGGCTGAGCCCTGGAAGCGCCAGTCACCGATTTCAGGAGCCTGTCGGTGAACCAGACAGACTTCCCTCGGAGCGCCACGGCCTTCTTGTGCTCAGGCAAAGGCATGAGGAGCCCAGGAAAAGCACTCCGGCGAGGCCGGGGCTTTCTGGGAATGGGCTGACTTGTACGGTCTGCGTCCCACCTGTCTGCCCTTGAGAGGGCCACCTTCAGCAGGGAGGAGATTTCGGGACAGCACAGCTTACCTGGGCCTAGCAGAGCAGGAGCTGGTGTGGCCCAGCAGCTGAAAGCTGGAGCCCCACCCTGAGCCTTGCCTCTTTGGGGGTCCTTGGGCAAGCCCCGCACAGCCCACCTACTCCTCAGCCCGAAGGCCGGCCTGCTTCTCTAGCCTCAGAAATAAAACCACGCAGTAAAAGAAGGAAAGAAAGAAAAACGGAGACAGAGAGCAGCTGGCGGTCACACAAACACACACACACAAAGCTGCCTTCCCCTGAGTGCTGCCTGCTCAGGCGGAGATCTTTCCCCACCACCCACTGCCTGGCCCTTTGTAACTGGAGGTGCTTCTGGGGATTGAACCTGGGACTCCAAGCAGAGGCTCTGCCACTGAGCCACGGCCCGTCTTTACAGCTCTCCAGGGTCTCAGGCGGAGGTCTTTCCCATCGCCTCCTGCCTGGCCCTTTTTAACTGGAGGTGCTTCTGGGGATTGAACCTGGGACTCCAAGCAGAGGCTCTGCCACTGAGCCACGGCCCGTCTTTACAGCTCTCCAGGGTCTCAGGCGGAGGTCTTTCCCATCGCCTCCTGCCTGGCCCTTTTTAACTGGAGGTGCTTCTGGGGATTGAACCTGGGACTCCAAGCAGAGGCTCTGCCACTGAGCCACGGCCCGTCTTTACAGCTCTCCAGGGTCTCAGGCGGAGGTCTTTCCCATCGCCTCCTGCCTGGCCCTTTTTAACTGGAGGTGCTTCTGGGGATTGAACCTGGGACTCCAAGCAGAGGCTCTGCCACTGAGCCACGGCCCGTCTTTACAGCTCTCCAGGGTCTCAGGCGGAGGTCTTTCCCATCGCCTCCTGCCTGGCCCTTTTTAACTGGAGGTGCTTCTGGGGATTGAACCTGGGACTCCAAGCAGAGGCTCTGCCACTGAGCCACGGCCCGTCTTTACAGCTCTCCAGGGTCTCAGGCGGAGGTCTTTCCCATCGCCTCCTGCCTGGCCCTTTTTAACTGGAGGTGCTTCTGGGGATTGAACCTGGGACTTCCTGCATGCCAAGCAGAGGCTCTGCCACTGAGCCACGGCCCCCTAACCTACAAGCAATTCCCACATCCTTCTGTTCTCCTCTGCCAGCTCCGCCTCCCCGCATCAAGGTTCCCAGTTCTGTCGGACTCTGAAATGTTCATTTCTCCAACTTGAGCAAAGGCAGGATGGGAAAGGGCAGGACCCGAGACCAGGTGGGGGCCTCACCCCCACCCCAGCACACCCCCTCCCCGGCTTTTCTGGGCGCACCCACCCCAGAGGCATTCACCTGTTCCAGAGCTGCTACACAGGACCCTCCAGCCATAACCCCCCCCCGCCCATTCCCATCTTACCTGGGCAGGTGAGCGTGCTTTTTACTGGCTGTTCTGTTGTAAAGGAGGGAATGAGGCGGACACCCAAGACAAGGAGGATGGCAAAGAAGAGGCCCGGCAGGTGTGGCGAGGGGGAAAGAGAGAGAGAGAGAGAGAGGACACAGGTACATGAGCAGGCAGACAGGAGAGCGGACGCAGCGTCAAGGACACGACACAAGCCCTGCGGGTGGGGGAATGAGGACACCGAAGGGGCCCGGGGCCTCTAACCATACAGAATCCTATAGAGTCACAGAGTTGGAACGGGCTCTACAGGCCATCTGGTCCCACCCCCTGGCTCAGTGCAGGATCAGCCCAGAGCATCCCTGGCCGGGGTTTGTCCAGCCGCTGCTGTTCTGGAGAGAACCCGCTTCTGGATTTGAAGACAGAGAAAAGGCCAGAACGCAGCTGAGCATGTGCAGAGGGCAGGGCAAGGGCACAGTCCGAGAGGGAAGATGCAAGCGGAGCCCAGGAGTGGCGCCCTGAAGGCCAGCAGAGTGAATCGGCGCCCCCTCCCTCCCTCCCCTGCGGCAGACACACCCGGCTCCCCAGAGCTCCTCCTCCGGCCTGTTGCCGCGGGGCTCTCGTTTTATGTTGCTCCCAGGGACACCCACAGGGCTCCCCACCTGGAATTTATTTCTAGATCCTGGTGTCCGTCCCCCACCCCCGCCCTGCCCCACCTCCCACCCAGTTTGCACTTCCTGTCCTGATGAGAGGCTGGAGGAGGAGAGTGTTCTGGCCAGGCCGGCGGCTAGCCCAAAGGCCAGCCTTTCAGCACCGCTGACCAAGGAAGGGGGGAGGGGTGATGTGTACTGACCCGGCCATGTGCGTGATCCGGTTTCGGCCGGTTCCGCAAGCGGCCAAGCGAAGGGCCTGAGCTTCACTCCAGAACACAATAGCCAGTCGGATCCTAGTTCCCTGCCAATCGGGAACCTAGGATCCAGGGGAATAATCTAATCACTGTAAATAGACCATTCACGGGTGTTGGGTGTATGTGGGTGCGTTTTCCTTGGGACATATAAGCCGGCCTGCAAGCCGGCTACTTTGTCTTGTTTTTCCCCAAATAAAGTATGAGAGATGAATTCACTAAGTAAGTCTCAGTACTTTTCAGTGGCGATGAAGGTGGGATTCTACCTCCCATGAACAACGACCAGCAAGAAGATCCGAGCCTCGCATCGAGACCCAACACTGAGACTACGGCACGCTGCCCCGCTTTGTGCCCTGCTTCTCCGGTTCCCGCTCACCGCACCGTTCCCGGCTCCACCCCTCGCACCGCTGACTCCGAGCGCAGCATCACTTCGCCTCCAACCGCCACCGCCGCCCCCCAGCTTCATGCACCTTCTCCACAGATCCGAAAGATGGCAGCAAGCCAGGGCACCATTCCCAAGTTCAACGCCACCTATCCTGAACAATGGGAAACCTGGCTAGAACGTCTGGAGAACCATCCCGAGTGCCACTATGTCACAGACGCTGGTAAGAAAAGGGCCTGGCTTCTCAGCACGTGCGGCATCGAGATGCTCCGGTTGCTGAAGGACCGGATCAGCCCACGGATGACAAGACTCGAGCAATCACCCAGGCTCCTGCTCCCACGTCCAAGTCTGAGTTACAGGCTTTTTCTATCATTCTTTTCTACCCCTGAAGGCTGCCGTGGCGGAACCTCTGCATCGGCTGCTCAACAAGAACGCTCTTTGGGTCTGGGGGCCGGAGCACGCCATGGCTTTCCAAGCCGTGAAGGTCCTCCTGGTTTCAAATTCCGTCCTTTACCATTTTGACAAAGCCCTTCCTGTGGTCCTGGCGTGTGATGCCGTCCCACTATGGGGTCGGGGCGGTCTTGGGCCATAGGCTGCCGGATGGCCGGGAGGTTCCGGTAGCTTATTATTCAAGAACCTTATCATCTGCAGAGCGAAATTATTCGCAGATTTTTAAGGAGGCACTAGTGATGGTGGCTGGGGTGAAGAACTTTCACCATTATCTGTATGGCAGGCCTTTCACGATCCTGACCGATCACAAACCAGTTCTCGGCCTCCTGGCCCCCGATCGCCAAACCCCGCAGATGACGTCCCCCTGGGTGATCAAGTGGTCTGTTTTTTTGGCTGGGTACACATATCCACTTGTACACTGGCCTGGGAAAGCGATGGGCTATGCGGACGCTTTAAGCTGCCTTCCACGGCCAGCTGTGGATCTGGACATGGCTCATCTCGTCGCATTTCTCAACACCCTCCCGGACCAACCCGTGCACGTTCAGGAGGTGGGCTACCACATTGCCAAGGACAAGATCCTCTGCCGATTCTTGGACTGGGTGAGAAGGGGGTGGCCCTTGGGCCGGGGTGGTGGTGGAATTCGCAGCTTTCACATCCCGTAAGGACGAGCTGTTGGCCTACAAGTACTGCTTGCTGTGGGGAGGCAGGGTGGTTATCCCAACACCCTTGAGGGAACGGGTCCTTGCCACCCACCATGAGACACATCCGGGGGTGGTCCAGATGAAAGCCCTGGCCAGGGGCTACGTCTGGTCGCCGGGGCTGGATCGGGACATTGAGGACGTTGTAAAGAGATGCCAGCCCTGCCAGGAGTCCTTCCCATGCTGTAATCGTCTTTCTTCTTAAACGCTTTCTTTGTGGCATTATCTTGCTGGAACTGGAACTGGTCATCTCAAAACAAAGTCCCGTTTTCTTTTTCAAGGGCTGTTATCCGCTTAATTTCTTGCCTGCAATCTTAGAGATCATTCCATTTATTGCTTTTAAAAGCCAAACTTACAGAGAGTCTATCCGCTCTTTTGCCTGTCAGACTTATTAAGTTGCTTAATGTCTGCATACAGGCCCCGCACTTGAACCTACTCTTTAGACTCTGTTCCTAAATGTTGGAAGTCCCTGTGATCAAAGGCTGGTCACTTCTCCAATGTGAACACAGTCCCTTGAAAATAACAGCCAATATATAACACCGTTCTTGTGAAGTACCTCATTTTTGCCAGCAGGGGGCAAAGGCTTAGCATACAGCCTGAAAGAGTCTATGGTTACTTCTGGTCACATGGGCCGGTTGCTCTTCCTCTTCCTGAAGAAAGCTTGGATCTCGCTTGCTGCTTCTACTGCATCGACGATCGCCATTTTTAAACATGTCAACTTTTACAAAATTTGCCGAAGTCCCGAAAACTTGCCTAAACACTTGTTTGGCTCCTGGAGTCTCTCTAATACAGTTTATTGCTGCTTAAAACTCCATCCCCACTACAGAGGCTTTTCTTTAATCGCTTATTTGTTCTTTCTGGGGGAGAGTCCCCCCCCTACTTTTACTAAAAGAGGACTCGCTCATTCTCTAGTGTTCTTGCTTTAATGGACTCACTCTTCAATGTCTGATCACTCGGATCTCGCCAGGTAACAATTTAAACGCTGAACCTCCATATGCTTGTCCTGGTGTGCGTAGCTTAGTCCCATTCGGGAACACAGCATAGAGACCTTCAGGGCAAAGAGAAGCCTCAATCTGCTGGCAGAGCTCCACGGGGATGCGGCCGCCATTAGCCTGCCAAAACCGGAAAACCACTGGTGGACCTCCTGATGGCACCTGGTATTTTTGGCCACTGTGTGATACCGAGTGATGGACTGGATGGGCCATTGGCCTGATCCAACACTGGCTTCTCTTACGTTCTTGTGTTGTTAAGCGAATACTTTTATAAGCAATGTATGACCTCCAACTCTTGGGTTTTTAGTGGGTTTTCTTTCCTTTCTCCTATAGCTATAGATCCCCTCCCTAATTTCATTGTAGTTTTTTAGAAAATGCAAATAAAAAATCCCCTACAGGAGGCCAAAAAAAAAGGTCTAGCAGTGGGGCCAGAACACTAGAAGCCCTCCCGCTGTGGACCCCCGCCCAACCACCACCAAGAATACAGAGCGTCACTTGCCCCGGAGTCCCTATCTATACCTCATGGCTAATAGCCACCGATTGACTTCTGCTCCATATGCATATCTAATTCCCTCTTTTTTAAAATAACAACATTTTATTGATAATTTAAAAAAAACTACAAGAAATTTCAAAAAGTTCAAGAATTCAGAAACAAGTAGGATAGCAGATAGTTCACAATTAGATATAAGTAAAAAACATATTTCCATAGATCCATATTCCAATTAATAATAAACAAAAGAAAAATATAACCAAAATTAATATTTTATAATTTCAAATAAGTATTCCAAAATGGGAAACCAGATCGTAGCAAATTTTACAGAGGATTCATATGCATTTACATCATTAACATTTGCTGTAATCTTTGACATTATGTATAATTTCCACAATTTAGAGTGCCAATGCTTAATTTGCGGGCTTTTAGTATTTTTCAAGAGTCATGCCACTGCATTCTTTGCTGCTAATAAGAAAGCTATTCTCTTAATTGTAGTACTAGAATGAATGTTTACTTGCCATCTATTGAACAAAATATGTTCAATTGTGCATTGTACTTCATATCCTGTTATACTTTTAATTCGAGTTACTACTTCCTTCCAAAACAATTCTAATTTAGGACACTCAAGCCAACAGTGTGTGTAATGTCCAATTCCCCCACATTGTTTCCAACATGATGGTGTTACTGAGTTGGAAATATAAACCAATTTCTGTGGAGTCAAATACCAAAAGGTAAGTATTTTGAAGGTTTGTAACTTTATTTCTATGATATTGGTATTAAAGAGAAATGTCTTCCATAGTTTTTGCCATTCGTCTTCTGATAAATCCAAGTTACAAATTTTATGCCACTTTTTTGATGTTAGTAATGTATGACTATCTATTTTCATTAAAACCAAATATATTTTAGCAATAGTTTGCTTTCTAGATTTTTTCATCCATTCATAAATAGTTTCATAGCCTGATAGTGGACGCTTAATAATATCTGTAACTTGTATTTTTTAACAGAGATGTAAAACTTGCATCCAATTTATACTAAAGCCCAGTTTTGCTTCTAATTGTGTTTTATTCATCAAAATATTATTTTCAATAATATCTTCAAAGTTTTGTAACATTTGCTTTTTCCCATTTAACCTGGTCTATTGGGAAATTTGGTGGCATTAAGGCTTTTTGGTTAAACAACATCTGGAATTTTGAGATTCCAGGGATTAACTGTTTTCTTTTGTTTTCCCAGGTGAATAAAAGATTGTGGAGAACTAAGCTACTGGATATTGTCTTGGGCCGCTCCGAGGAAGTTTGCCAGATCACTTCTGGGATCTCAGATGGGTGAGTATAATGAGATTGTATTAAAATCCATTCTTTAGTTTTGTAGTCATGCAGCATTTTAAGAATATTGGATAAGTGATTCACTTGATAGTATTTATATAAGTCAGGGAAGCCTAGACCTCCCTTAGATTTATTTCTACTTATTGTTATTGCGCTGACCCTATGACGTTTGTAGGCCCCCAAAAAGTTTAATAAAGTTTTTTGCCAAGCATCTATATGTTTTTTTAGCTATTACTAACAGGAGCACTCTAAATAAAAAAAGGAACTTAGGTCATACATTTTAATAATGTTCAGTCTATCATGCCAGGACAAATTCAGTTTATGCCATTGACTAAGGTTTTTTTTTCAAGTCTTCTATTAAAGGTTCATAGTTAATTTTATATAAGTTCTCAAGATTTTTAAAGGAATTTTAATTCCTAGGTATGTTAGATCGTTTGTTGTCCATTTATATGAAACTGATTTTTAAGCGTTTTCTCCATGTCTTTCTCTTTGTAAGATTTATTTGTAATCCTGAAATATTACTAAACTAGTAAGGAAAGCCCGTCGTGGCGGTAGACGACGGGCCCTAGATAGGAAGGAAGGGCGAGTGGAAGGGAGGAATGGAGAAGAGGAGGTAGAGA